GGGGGGGTAGAGACAGAGTGAGGCTATGCTACGAGTGACGCACGGCCTGGCCTGGTCTGCCCCTGGGGTGTGGTGTACTGCAGGCGGCGCCGCCCGCGTACTGGCGGATGCCATCCTGCAGCAGGCGGCGGAGGCGGCTCCAGGTGCTGCGGAGGGAGGCGGGGAGGAGGAGGGAGGCGGGGAGCAGGGAGGAGGGGGCGCGGCGGCGGCCCGCGGCGTCCTGCTGCGCCTGCTGCGCTCCCTGGACCTGCGCTACCCGGCAGCGCTGGATGCGGCGGTGGATGCGGCGCTGCGCGCTGCGGCAGGCGGCGGTGCTGGTCCAGCCGCCAGTACCGGCGCCGCTGATGATACTGCCGGCGACCAGCAGCAGGGGCAGCCGGCCGGGGAGGCCGAGCGGCGGCGGCGGCAGCTGCTGGGCGTGCTGGGCGAGGCGTTTGACGGTACCGCGCGCGGCCCGCTGGCGGAGGCCGGCACTACGGTACTGCTCGCGGCCGAGGCGCCCTCCGCCGCCGTGCGGCAGATGGTGAGGGCGTGCCGCCGCGCGCGCCCGCCGCCGCTGGCCTGCTAGCACGCCCTGCCCTGCCGGCTGCTCTGGCTGTACTGCTGGCCGCGCCTCACATGACCAGCCGGGCCTCCGTGTTGCTCGGTCTTACAAGCAGGGTCAGTCTTACAAGCAGGGTTCACAGGCACGCCCCAGCCTGCCGGCGCGCTTTGCGGCTGCACCCTCCCACCTCCCCGGCCTCTCCTCCCCGTGCCGCTGCAGGCGGTCCAGCGCCTGGACACGCTGCTGTCCTCCTCCTCCCTGGCGGCGGGCGGTACCGGTGGTACCGCCGGCGAGGCCGCCGCCGCCGCGGGCGCCGCCCTGCTGCGCCGCCTGCTCGACGACTGCCCCGCGGTGGCGCTGGCCGCGCTGGGCGCCGCCTCGCTGCTGCGCCTGCCGCCGGCCGCCGTCATGGATGGGCTGGAGGCCTGCTTTGACCGAGCAATGGCGCAGGTGGGGTGGGGCGGCAGCGGGGGGTGTTGGCCGCGTTGGCTCTTGTGAGCGGCAGAGGGAGGCGGACTGTGGGGGACAGGAGGGGCGGCCCTGTCAGTGGCAGAGGCAGGCAGCGGGAGCAGGAGGGAGGGCGGTGGCAGGCCTGCGGGGGCTGAGGGAGGCGGCTCCAAGGGGGCTGAGAGAGGCAGCAGCCCTGCTGCCGGCACGGATGCTGCCTGCTGCTGCCCTGCCTGCCGGCCTGCCTGGCCACCTGCCTGCCTGCCCGCCCGTGCCGCGAGCTTGAGCCTGCCGTATGGCCGCCGCCGCCTGCCGCGCGCGCCCCTCCCTGCGTCCGCGCTTGCGCCCGCTTCGCTGCACCGTAAGCCCAGCTCACCTTCTTCGTTTCGCGTTCCCGCCTGTTCCGCGCTTTCCTCCCGCGCTGCGCAGGCCGGCGACCGCGCGCTGCGCAAAGCACAGCGTGCCGAGGCGCGCGGCGTCGCTCGCAAGGTGCTCAAGCTGGCGGCCGGACCACTGCTCGAGGCTGCCCCTGCGCTGGCCCCCCGCGTGCTGCCGCTGGTGCTGGCCGGCCTGCTGGTCAACCAGGCATGCGGGCGCCGGGTGGCGGCCACCGCCGCCAAGGCCGCTCGCCAGCTGGAGCATCCCTTGCTGGCGGGGCTGGCCGGCCTGCCGCTGCCTGGTGAGGCAGCCGCTGGCGGCGGCGACGAGGATGGTGCCGCGGCGGCTGCGGCAGCGGCTGCTGCGGCGGCGCCGCTGCCCCAGCCCCGGCCCGCCAAGCGCCGGGGCGGCGCG